AGAGATAGAGAGGGAGAGATAGAGAGGGAGAGATAGAGAGGGAGAGATAGAGAGGGAGAGATAGAGAGGGAGAGAGAGAGAGGGAGAGAGAGAGAGAGAGAGAGAGAGAGAGAGAGAGAGAGAGAGAGAGAGAAAGAGAAATACGGTTACAAAATCTGCAGACACAAATCAATACCCTGAGCACAGAGCTCTAGCACAAGGTACTTAGTACTATTTGGTGCCATACAACATACGACCGGACTTGCAGTCTCTTCTCAGTGGGTGGTTGGCGGGTGCTCTTATGTAGTCTGCTCCTTCTTCTCTATCAAACAACGATCGTCCTTATCTCCTCTCCTCCTCATTTCTTGCGTTTGCTACTCTCTTGGTGAAACCTCTAATCTTCGGCACTTATATTATTGTTATTATGACCTTATTGTGTTGCAAGTGCCGTAGAACTTTTACTAAAACTAAAATCTCCTCTGGCTCCTTCACTCATTTCGTCCTTCTCTCTATCCAGCTCTCTTTGTTTGACCGTTCGTCGTCGATCCGCTTGGTAAGTATGCACGTGAATAGGCAGACCCAAATGGAGAAAATTGTGAAATGGTAGGTTTAACAGAGGGGGGGGGGGGATAAGGAGGGCGGCCGTTTGTACAGGTGACTGTCTTGTACAGGAGACCGTTAGTACAGGTGACTGTCTTGTACAGGTGGCCGTTAATACAGGTGACTGTCTTGTACAGATGGCCGTTAGTACAGGTGGCCGTTAATACAGGTGACAGTCTTGTACATGTGGTCGTTAGTACAGGTGAGTCTTGTACATGTGGCCGTTACAGCAGGTTAGTCCGTAATTCTGGTAAGAATACAATATGACTGAGGACCGCACCAGACAGTACAAATGATACTGGGCTTTATTGTTTGTTTAGTTTTCGTAAAGGTTTTACGGCACTTGCAACACAATAAGGTCATATAAGTGCCGAAGATTAGAGGTGTTACGAGAGAGTAACAAACACAAAAAGGAGGGGAGATAGAGACGATAGATTTCTTATAAGGAAAAAAGGAGCAAACCACAGCAGAGCACCCGCCAACCACCCACGATTGTTTGTTTGTTTGTTTGTTTATTTTTTGTGGGGGGGAGGGGGCGTTGGTAAGTGTTTTTACGGCGCTCGCAACTGCATAAGGTCATATGAGAAGGCTAGGTGTAGATCTTTCCTACCGGAAGATCAGGGGAGTGGTTGAAAGACGGCCGTAAGAAGAAGCCAAGGAGTAGCAGTAGAAAGA